GAGTGTTACTAATCTTATTATAAATGCTTGATTTCAAAAAGGAAACGTCGTACTCGATCAAATTTCGTCACTCGTACTTTTGTCTAACACGGGGGGTGTAACGTTTGAATGTATTTTAATTATTTTACATAACTATTTAAAAGATCTATTTTAAAAGAAGCTAAAAATAAATAGCAATAAACCTTGAGGATTGAAGTTAACGATTATTGCCTAAGTTATTTTTCTCTAAGTTTTCCTAAGATTCCGTTAATACAGAAAGGATTTAGAAGAATAGCTGAGAAAATCATCATCTAGATATTTTATTGCTTTTGGAAAACCCATGTGGCGAAAAGCAATAAAATTTTGAAAAAGAGCACGTGACGTAAGGAGAGCTTTCTAAATAGGGAATGACCATGCAAACGGACTTGTGCGCGCCTGAAGCAAGAGACATCTAATTATGTCACATTTGACTGAATAAATACCTAAGGTTTGATGCATCGGTCAGTTGTCGAAAAAGTACGATCGAGATCAGATCGTCGTGGAACATATCTTGAAATTCCAAGTCTTGTTGTGTCTTGAACATTGTATTGATGATATTTCAAAGTTTAGAATTTTTTGTGTAGAATTTATTTGATCATTAAATTATTTTTTAATTAATATTTGAATTAATTAGCGACATGAATGAGAGAATGCATATGAAAGACAATAAGAGTAGAGATAGAAGAATAAATGATAGGATACATAGGATAATGTACAAGATAGAATACAAGTAAGTAGATGAAATACAGAGAGTATAAAAAAAAGACAAGAGAGGATGAGAAAATAGATTAAAGAATATGCGGGAGAGATAAAGATAATGAATGATAGAATATATGAAAAAATGTGTAAGAGAGGATACAAGAGAACAGATAAGATTACGAATGCAAAAGAGTGTGAGAGAATGCATAATAGGATGAGAAAAAAGATGGGAGAATTCATGAATGATTATTATATTTATTATAGTTATTGTTACTTTTTCGTAATAAGATACATTGATTTCTAGTAGAGCAGAGTGAATGATCTCCTTCCTTTCTTTAGAGAGTAGAGATCATGCTTATTTAATGATGATCAAGAGAGGTGAATGTAATTATAAGGACATCAGAACGGGAATAATTATCAGATTGTTGATGAACATGTATGAACGATACTAATACAACAATCGAATAGGTATTTAAGAATGAGAAATGATCGATTATTCACTTTAAGAATTTCGATTGATTAATGCCAATTATTTATTGAAGCTGATATAATAATACAATATAAAGTTACGATTAATGAATTGAGATTACTCAATTGCAACGCTACCGCGATCAGGGCAAGTTACCTCAATCCCTGACCGTGTAGGTGCCAATTTACCTAACAAAAATTTACCAATGATTAATCCTACCTGTGGACGCCACTCGTTTTTTGGCCTCAAAACGAGAAACCTGAAAAAGCTGGCTAGCTCTGATACACCTGAAAATCGCGAAAAAAGGTCTCGCACGAACACAAATAAACTTTCCACAAAAGTTTTATTCAATAATTAATTTTATTTGCAAGCAGTGTGATAATTATTCCAAAACTTTAATTTTATAAACGTAAAACCAGTAAGATTTTATTAATCGAATGAAGAAACGCATTGATTTATAAGATCTCGAAAAGAACAATTGAATCAGCTCGAAAATAATAATTCGATAACAATTTGTATTAATCTCAAAGAAACTTTGGTATTCAAAATAAATCTCAATACCGACAATAATAATAACAATAATAATAGTCCTACAATTAATGGAGATTAGACTATTATTTGCGAAAACGTTCTCGACGCCTTTGATTTCCAAAACAAAGTAAATTCCTCCAAGCGGAAAAAGGACGGAAGGTCCGCAACGCATGCACTGGTACCAGGCTATACTCACTCTCTCTCTCTCGCACTCACACACACTAGGGAAAATAGCAGAAGGAAAGAGACAGAAGAAAGTATGAAGATGTTCAGGCTTACTGAAGCTTCTCTTCTTCTAGATAACCCAGCCCCCTGGTCCACCGGGGTTTGTACACTCGTCGAGACATCCACACTCCGCAACGTCAGAGGAAAGGTGATTGTGGAATTTCTTTTCCGAAGAGACAACAGCAACAAACACGTTGTGTTCTCGTTAGAGTCTATTACCACAATGGCGTTCTTCCGGAAATAATTTAGCCAACTGACCACGTGGTGATTATAGCGCCGTCAAAAATAAACTAACTTGACTACTAATTGGTAAATTAGGTCAACTATTAATCGACAGGTCGATAACGTATCGACCCGCTAAAGGGCTGAGTGACAATCGACTCACTCGCCTCGTTACACAGTATTTCAAATGTTGAAGACAAATATACACTGGTTAAAAGAATTGTACGATGTTTTAATGGTTATACAGAGTAAAGTCAACCATAAATGTTTGCAAGCTCAAGGAACACAGTCAAACTCAACGTTACGAGATCTGCTTGACGACTGACATCTTTTCTTGCCTTGGTTATTTTATTGATCTATTACAAAGACACTTAGTAGAGTTTCATACATCAACACACACAAAAAATTCAAACACTGAATTTATCGCTGACGTTGTCGCGGCGTATTTTTAGTTATTCGTTCTTAGTTTTTCTCTTATAAAAAAAAAGAAAAAAAACAGCTCATCGAATTTGTTCAATGTTTTTTCAGATTTTTTCCATAACAATATCCTTCGAATAAATTTTAGCTGAAATTCATATTTCAATCCGTTCTTGAGATATCGAAAGTAAAAAAAAAAAATGTTGGAATACGTACATACATAAATACATGCGTACACATACGTATAAAATCTATTATAGATTTTTCTGAAAATTAGCTTGATGCTTGCAAATATCTTGAAATTTCGAGATATGATGGAAATTCGAATTTCACCAACCGACCCAATTTCAATAACTTCTTTATGGAAAGTTTACAAGATCTATGCGAGTTATTTCAATGCGAATTTTTTTCTTTTATTAAAAAAATGTTACTAAACATAAAATTTTGTTTGTTTCTGTTGAGAATTAATTAATTCTCAGTTTGAATTTGCCAGCTGATAGGAACTTCGGCGGCCATATTGAGACTGGGTCGATAACCAATCGACCAAATAATCAATAATTCTTAATCTAGTCACTCATTTGACTTATTTTCTGTGTCCTTTTTGACTAATGAAGATCCTGTCGCCTTTCTTTCACTGTTCTCGTTCACGTGTACACGCCATTCTCATTCATTCTTCAGAAATCTTACAAGTTTGAGTCAATCATCAGTACGAGTGCTATTGAAAATCATCAGAGCCATTCAAGTTTCATTCTAAAACTAGAATCAAGAAATATTTCAAGAATTTTCAGTGTAATTCAAGACATTTCATCAAGATTCATTTTGCATTGCATTGATAGGCTAACGCCACGTGCACAATCACATTCTTGCTCAACTTGAGAAGCGTGCTGAGCTCGTGTGGGAGGTCAATAATACCGAACACACCAAGTTGAGTAGTTTTTTGGACATTCAATTCAGATTCAAGAATTAAAATTAGACATTCAGTGATTTTGAGCGACATTCAGTCTTCCTAGTTAACAACTCAAATTTGTCAGTATACTTAGTGTACCTGTTAGTGCTTGAAATAAAGATACTTTATTTTTTATAAAACCTGACTTCCGTTTGCTCTGTTCCGGCACAATCATCCCTATCCTTAAACGGTTAGGTTAATTCACAAGTTGAGATTTTCTCAACAGTTTCCAATACATTCATTTTTTATGAACAATCAAAAACACGTACTAGCCACAACATAAAAGTCTACCCAACGGAACATTTTACCTTTCACTAGAAAAACGTGAGTTACCGTGCGAAGTAAGTACAAACGAACAATTTTTGTTCATAGCAGTAAAATTTATAATAATTTCTACCGAAATGTCATGAGTTCTGAGAGATAAGAAAAAAAAATAGAAAACAAAGTTGGCTGCAAATACTTTGGTATCCATACGGATGGCAGTTTTATATCTTAGAGCCACATTGAGTATTACAATAGTAGACGATTTTATCCTCTATTTCTCATTTCTCATAGATCATTGCTTTCTAGGAGCCGTTTATCATATAAATCTTCTGAGTAAAGTTTAGACTGCCTTTTATTTGTATTCTTTTCTTCTTTACTTCTTATCTTTTTCACTGTTCCTTCAGTTTCCACTTTTTTTTTTTAGTCTATTCAGCATTATCGATTTTTTTAATCCAATTATAAGTTAGAAATCCTCTTTATAACTCATATTGTAATATAAATCTGTTTAAAATCGTAAACGGAGTTTCGATTAGAAAACATATCGAAAAATACAGTATGATATTACACTCAATAGTGAATCACTTGATTCAGACTGTGTGAGGGCTGATACATTTAGCAGAGAAACAAGTTTAGTTTAGAAATAAAGATTTCAAGACAAGAACTAATACAGAGAGATTAAAAAATCAGTTTTCTAGGTGCCACCTACAATCATCATTAGAAGATTTCAGTAAATCGACAAGAAAATGACCCACATCATTGCGATAATTTGTAATTAGTAAATAGATTGCTTGAGGTTAAAACGTCTATAAAGGCACAAACAAGACCTCTTCATATCACCAGGATAAGAAGAGAGTGTCTCATGCGCCAAACAAATCGCCTCTATCTTGCTTTTATATCACGACGAAGCACTACTGTGTCTCTATACAAATTATGAGATAATTTTTTACTTAGAATTTTATAAAAGCATAAAATTTCTATTATGTTAACAATATTGAAGCTAACTGATAAATTACAGTCACGCAAAGTTATTGATTGTTATGATGAATGTGTATTAAAACGTACTAAATTTGAAAAAAAAAACATAAGAAAAGAATTCATTTCAAAAATTTGTTGGTTCTTATTGTTAGATTTAAATAATTGGCGTTTAATGATTTTTAACGTTGTCAAGAAAAGCGTGGTTAACTATAATTGCATTTATGCCCATTATAGGTCATTATTTGAATGGATTGTCTGGAAGAGATGGAGAGTCTTCTGGCTTTTCAACGGGCTCTCGACCATTAAATCCCAATAATCCATATTCACCTGATGGTAAGAAAAATTTTGGATTCGTTGTATTTTACTCTTATTTAACTCACACCGTTTACATAGATGATGACTATCCACCATATATAAGAATACTAACACTACTGAAAGATTACATGTATGTAAAGACGCGCTCTGTTGTCATATATCTTTCAACCTTTAGTTGGAAAACTCAAAATATTTTTCAGTAATGATGAACTTCGGCAAAATACTATAAAGTAATTAGTACATAGACTGCAAAACAATAGAACAAAGTAAATATTTAGATCTTTTTTTTTTTCAAAACAATTAAATTTAGAAAAAGAAAAAAAGCAAGACATTCGTCGTGAAAATTAAACTTTCAGATGGAATATCATAAACTTGAACTAATATCACGACTTTCTTTATGATTGTTTAAATGCAAGAAACCCTAATTTATTAGGTGCTTTTACAAGACTACCTGACTGAATATAAAGTTCTGTTTTAACTTTTTTATCATTTTGTTTATCTTCACTTAAAAACAGAGAATATTAAGTGCTTTTCTTCTTACGTTCACGAACAACGTTGGCCCTTTCTAGAAAATTTATTTCCAAAGATAATATCTGCTGTACTGGTAGTACCAGCTGTTCTGCCGCAGTTTTCAAGCAAACTACACGTATGTTTCCATCTTCACCAGTCATTTCTTTTACTATTTTCGCTAATGGCCGGTCTAGGCATTTTTGCTGATCATTACTTACGAGAACAATATCTCCTACTCGAATTGTTACATAGTCAGTCTTCTTCATACGTCTCCCGAACAGTTAAACAAGATACTCAATTCAAAACCGACGTCGTATATGTACTATTAAGTTATGACTATACTTTAGTTTTTTTCTTAAGTCAATGTCATCAATAAGATTAAGATTAGGCATTCCACTTCTTTTATCTTCTTACAAAAACATCGCAGGTCGAAATGGCCAATCGATTTTTTCGAATTGCTACATTTTTTTATCTCGTTGCAATTGATTTTTTTCATAAATTTTTGCTTTCGACAAGTATATATCATTATCATAGTAAATTATAGAGGGACTATCTCTTCTCGCAATAATGTGTCGTAAAGTCTTTCGTCCGTCTATCAGATACAAAGGTTTAGCAAAAACTATATCAATGACTTCAAAAGCTACGGTGTCTTGTATTCTGTTTTCTGGTATAGTTGTAGAAGCTTCTTCTACAAGCATGAAACTGAACCTTTTGCATGCAACACATTGCTTGATCATCTTTTGTATTGTTTTTTTCCACGTAAGAATCCAAAATTTTTCTCTAAATGGATTTAAAACTGTCTGTACCCCAAGCATTTAATGTGATAAAATTGTATTAAACACTGAACTAATAGATGCTCTAAATCTAGAACTGATGGTCGTTGAAAATAATCATTATCTTTACGATTAAAAATTAAGACTTTAGTCTAATCATTCCATTTCTATTAGTAATAGTATTTAAATGATAAATTTTGGGGTCACAGTTATTTTTAAATGATTTTCTTTGTACTAGATGCATCACTGTCATTTTTTCATCGGAAAACTCTCTCACTGACAATTCTCCCTTCTTTTCTTTCTCGATTTGATACAATTTTTCTATTGTAGATGTCTTATCTGCTCTACAAAACGTATAATCTTAGTATATTGTGAGAAATATCAGAGATACCAGTACTGTATTGTGAAAATTGGACTACTCATATTAGTCACTATCAGATTTTAATTTTGCTGCTTTGATGAGATTTTTATCTTTGTTGCAGATTTCTTTCATTCACTGCATACTTATTTTTTATTTACTAAATAATCTGTTGTACATGATTTCTCAGGAGAATTTTGGAGCCTCTTAGTGCCCTCTCCCCATTTTGACTCTATCAACTGCTTGAAAATGGAACCTCTTGATGCAAGGTCTCTGGAATTTATTAAATCTGGTATAATATAACATCCGCAAGAACAATGAAACCAAGTGAACACTTACGCCCCTAGATGACTGAAACCTTGCATGGATTACCGCTGCGTAGGCCACTTGGCTCACATCAACAAATACATTTAATGATAATTTTGGCTCTTCATCAAAACTTCTAAATATCTACCAAGATATTTTACGGTCTTGAAAAAACTCTAATTGCTCGTGCCATTCAATGAATTGCTTATGATTTGTGGAGTAACTTTTGTATCCCAATCTAAATTTACTATAGTCTGCAATAAAATCTTTGGATGCGAGTCCTTTAAAACGTGTATATTTCCACCCTTTTAGTTCAAAACCTGCAGCAACCATTTATTTTATAACTTCATTTCGGAACTGCTCTCGCTGCTTATATGTGTCAATACTTGCTACACAATTATCTACATAAAAAGATATTCAAAGCTTTTGGATAGTAAAGTAGAATACCGTATTATAGAACGATTTTTCACAACTTTTTGTTGCACTTATCATCAAAAAAACGTAAATTACTAACGGGAAAACCTCGTGAGGTGGTCACCGTCAGTACTTCAATGAACAAAATAATATCTTTCGTAATGGATGAATGAATTACGATTCACCTTTTTTACTTAAAAGAAAACCTCGAGAGGTAGTCACCGTCAATTTAGCTGAGACTTCTACATAATCATCTATATCGGAAATAATGGAATACGTATTTTTTTTCGATAGTAAAACGTTTTAAAGAGGTCAAAATCACCACCATAGTTAACACCCTATAAATGTGATTTTTAACATTCACATATTTCTAATCGAAATTCTCCAAAACGACTTTATACGTTAAGAACAACATAAAAAATGATGAAATATACCTTTATTTACATACCTACAAATGTATTTATATGTATGTCAATGAAGGTTTTTTTAGATCGAAATCGATCTAAAAAAATTGTTGTCCTTTTCCAGATTTGTATTGAAATAGAGAAGACATATAATTGCAATATTTTTACATCCTGTAATTTTACAATGAAACTTACAGTTATCTCCAAATGCAAAATCGATTTGATTTTCAAATTCATCTGGTTTAATAAATGTATAACTACTTTTAATTAGAATAACGAAAAAGATTTATGTATGGCAAAGACGAGAGTTGATTATGAGTCAGTGATAGTAAATCAATAATATTACTTCTTAAGTGTAATTTCAATTATCTTCTCGTAATACGACACTGTGTAAAAAATTGCCTTACGAAGTTTTTCCACATTCTAAACCCAAAAACATTAAATAGTTTGTAGCACCGTGTATTTTATTTATGTAGAAAAGAAACATTATATTAATTTTTTTGTATTCATTTGTATTCATTTGTATGGTCTGAAATGAATAAATTTGAATCTGGGGTGTGGCTGAATCATCTTCTGATTCTTGGTCAGACATACTTTTTTGACATGTACTTGTAAAAGGTGAGTTCTGGTGCCATACCATCCTCGCCTTATCTACTAGTTTTTGTGAATTGCTTGTGTAGTACACAGCAACATAGCTTTAGCTCAGGCTTGTGTTATACACAGCCGCCCTCTACTCAAGTTGCACTCAGTGGTGGATTTTTTGGGGGTTCCGGTTGCACCCAACTCGTTCAAGGTCGCGAATAGATTACGGTCCTAGATACGCGAGTTTAATTGTTTTTATTAATGTTTAATTTACTAGTTTGATGAATTATTATGTTTTTTGATGTCAAGTACATGGTTTGCATATGTTTGATGTTCTAGGGGGGGCGGGGGTATTTTATTTAATTATTGTAACTTTGCTAATTCGCACTAAACGTCTTGAGGATCGACCTATCATCATATAATACTGGTATTCATGTATTTATAGTTTAGATAACAGATCTCTTTTTTTTTTTCCTTACTACTTTGTTAAATGTCATGAACCGTAAATTAAAAATACATTTTCAGTTTATGGTATATGACATTTTATAAAATTTTTAAAAATGACCTAATTGTATAGATTACTCAAATAGATTATCACATGTAATAAGCCAGAGGATGTCATACGTACTTACCTACCCACATTCTAAAAATATGTTAGTATGCTTGCAAATATCATGGAACGTGGCGATATAATGAAAATTCGAATTTCACCAATCGACCGAATTTCAATACCACCCTAATGGGAAGTTAACAAATTGATGGTTTAATAATTGATTGACAAATAATAATACGTAGTTATGGTGATATTAGAAAATAATGAGTAGTGGTTTTCATATTACGTTCTTGTTGAGACAGCAATTTTGTTCTCCCACAGAATTTTTAATGAATATAAGCGAGTGTTTTCAATTATTAATAAATTTTAAAAAAATTCATTGTGACATTTACACATACAGAAAAATAATAATATCCATAACTTTTGTTTCAGATACTTATCCAGTGAATTCCGGTGATAGTTTTTGTAGTAGTGATATATCGTTGGATGGTACTGAAGTTGCTTTCGAGATGGGTGAGAATGAAAATCCTACGGGTACAGAAAATATTCCGCAAGCTTCTGTTCACTCTGGTCATATTGGATCATCAAACGAATTGTCAGTAATCGCTCAAAACTCTCATCACACTGTCAACAATCCGATCGATAAGCTTTTCATGATGCAGAATAGTTATTTTAGTAACGATCATTTATAATATCAGTATTTATCTTGTTATTCTGACGTGGATATATTTAGTTTATCAGTTTTCTTTCACATACATATATTTGTAAATGAGTACTTTATAATAAAACATCTTGTCTATTATAAAATTTAATTTTTCAGTCGGTACACAATATTCATCATTGTTTTTAAATTAACTTTTTTTATTGTAAATACTCTTTAGAAAGATTCTGCAATAAACGACCTACATGTATAATAAAACTGAATTAGATGTATTTTATTGTGATAGAGCTGCAAATATATATATATATATATATATATGAGTATTGTATCAATTCAGTAGATAATGAAGACTTTCTTGGAGGATTTGATGGAATTCAATAGAACTGTTTGCTACCTTCAAACGGAGAAAACGTAATAAATACGGATTACCACTTACCTTGAAAATAGATGTTTTATTAGCGAAATATATCAAATAGAAATGTTATTCACATTTTTATGTTCTACTACTGCACTTAGATACAGATCCTATAATTAATTATCTTGAGATATAATCGCTTGGAATTTATAGGCTTGTTTTTTATGTGTTTTTGTTTTTTCCCTATTTTACTATAATTGTTGCGTTGAAAAACTAGACGTTTTCTAAAATTAAAATTCTCCAAGTCTACTTTTTACAAGACCTCATCACTCAAAAATCTTTAGATAATCTGAGGAAATTTTCTCACCTAGTAGACAAAAGCTGAATACTAAGAGTCCACTCAATGTCCATTTGTAAAATGAAATTTCGTGGCACAAGTCGAGACCGGACTCATTTTATAGAGAAAAATGCGCTGAATTCAATGAACTAAATCCTAGTCAAAAGAAAACCAGGCGCGTCATAATTTTTTTTTTATTCAAAAATTACTTTTTCCGATATCTCCACATGTTTCATGTAATATCTCGTAAATAAAGCAAAAATCAGGCATACTTGACTAAAAAAATTTATTCCTTATACTTTGAGAAATATTTCAGTCATTTCATTTTTTTTGAATTCATTTTCATTTTTGTAATTTTTTATCTCAAAAAGTTAAAAAAATCATTCACTGTGGCAGCCATTTTTGTTGATTATCACACCAATTTATCAGTATTACAGTTTTCTAATCGATCAATTTTTTCAGTCAACTATGCCTGATTTCTGCTTTATTTATGAGATATTACATAGAATATGCGGATTCATCAGAAAAAAGTAATTTTTAAACAAAAAAAAAAATATGACGTGGCTGGTTTTTTAGGGCTGGGAAAAAGTTCACTAGATTCAGCGCATTCTTCTTTATAAAATGAGCCCGGTCTCGACTTGTGTCACGAAATTTTTTATTATCTGTTTTTTGCTGCTCATTGACTGGACTGTAATGAGAATGTGGGGGGAGGGGGTCTAAGTACCGCCTTTCTTTTTCGTGGATCACGCCTCGAGTCACGATACTCGTAAAGTCTGCAAAAATTTGAATTATCTCAGTTGTATTATTAAATTATTAACTCATTATTTGTCGTTAGTAAAAAATATAGAGTCTATCTGATCTCAGCGTGTACAGAGATTGTTTCTGAGGATTGCGCAGTATGGTTAAGATGTTATTTCTGAAGATTACAATGAATTTTCTTTTGAAGGAAACCATCTAAGTATACGAGATGACCATTTTATTTCAGATCACGTGCATTGTGCAATAAGTTGGAGAGATAATTTTCTATGAGTTGATAATAAGTTAAAGCAGTATTTTCTCCTCACCAGGCTGACACTCCGGGTTTCTAAATTTTTTATCGAGTCTTTACTTCACATTATGGTCCTTCAAACCGGATTGTGAGTGCGGTTTGAATAAGAGCGAGTTTTTAAGTGCTTTTTCCAGTAAGAAAGAAACATAATTAAGAAAAGTTTCACGTTTATTGAATTTACGTTCATCTGTGCAAGTACAAACAATTTAAAGAAAATTTACTTTTCTTAAGAAGCTAGCCGAGTTTATAATATTCGAGAAACTATTAAAACTTCGATGATCTAGTGAAAAAAATGAAAAAAAAGATTACAGGTGGACAGTAATCGAAATTATGTGGACTGTATTTTTTAGGATATTTGGATCCTAGAACAGTCGAGACTGTTGAACAGGTGTGAATGAATCGGCGGACACTATTTCTGGGTTTTTACTGGAGAGTTTGACTACGTGAGCTTGCTGCAAGTACAAGCGTACCGAGTTGACTGTTATATCGAGTTGTTAGTCGGTTGGCATTGTCCAATAAAGCCCAAGAGTCGTCCGACATACACTGAATATGACCCACGTACTGACCGAAACTTGATAGTAACCGAAGAATACAGACGGCTACAGCCAGTTTTTCCCGAAAACTTTGCGTTCTCAAAGCATTTAGGTCCTTTGAGAAGGGATATTTTCGCCTAGAAATTAATTAGAGCAGTCTAATTAAGACGCATTTTCTTGTTAATTCTTAGAAAATACGTCAGAACCTGCCATTACCCTACTTCATTTTATTTTCCGTTTTATTTTATTGATATAACCGTGGGACGTTGCCATGGCAAGTCGGTGATACACTGTACGAAATATTGAATAAATATCTAGACGAAGAATTCAACAATATGCGCTGCATAATTGAGCATGATTATGGAGTCTTATCTCAAGAGGCTAATAAAATTAGATATCCCAATATTTAATTTGGAGTGAATAGATTTCAAAATGTTTGATGATTTTATAACACATTGTCCATACTTGGAAAACTATCGTCAAGAGTTAAAAAAAATTTGAGATTCGCATATATATGAGATTGAGTATGAATATCAATGTACACGAGAAAATGGAGATGATGTTAACTTATAGGTTCAGAAAAATATTGTTATATATTATATAACATACCTTTTTGATGATGATTTTCGACTTGTACAGATGTACTTCCTAACTTACAAATTATGATTATTGGATCCCGCGAATGTCGAATCACTAACGAAAGAGTTTATTCTTTTGGAAGCTACTAAGGATATTGATGTTATATGAGCTAAACTACCTGATGAATGACAATCAGATGAAGACTCTGATATGTCTCGACGATATGTAATAAAAAACTAATAAATAAAAACATCTGTTACATGATTCATTTAATTAATTTCAAATTTTAGAATTAATTTTGATATTATATGTTTGATTTACAACCAGAATCTAAATCTTTCTCTATCTCGAGCTACTTCCTCTCAACATTCTTGACGGGCAGTTCTGTGAGGGTAAATCTATGTATAAACTACAAGCATTCCCGGTTAAAAATTGAATAAAATTAAACAGATTACATCTCACTTATAATAATTGTCGTGATTAGCTACTCAAAGGTTTATTTTCAACAATCTGATCATGAATGATTAAGCAGTATGCTGATGTAATAGCTCATATCGATTTTGTCGATTCGAATTCGATTTGCACATCCACATGTCCAGATTTCCATGATTTATTTTGTATTAAACAATCGATGACAGTCAAAGATGCTTTGCCGATGAATTTGTTTTTTTGTAAGACAGGGTAGTCGTTGATATAATATAATTCTTGAAAATTTTTATACATATCATATAGTAATGCATATTAATTATGATCTATATCAAGATTTAAATTGCCATATAGATAACATTGTGAAATAAGAAATAGTTTGACATCTTTCAAATTACAATGATTGATTTGACTTGGATCTTTCGTTGAATTATTCTCGCGTGTGGTTCGGAATGCCAATATAACATATCTCGGTGACTCCAATTGTGTTGATGTCTTTACTATCCAAACGTTGTTTGGTAAAAATTCCTAGACCCTCCCAATTCCGCAACAGAATCACATAAACCTAATAAACTCGGCATTTTCTATTATATAAAACACTATTAAAACTATGTAAATAAAATTAAAGTGTCTGTCTGTGATTTCAAAAAAACTATCTCAAACTAAACTCAGAGGGTTATTAGAATGCTGGTAAAACGTAAATACAGAGTTCGGTATTAATATTTTTCTTTGTAGTATTATAGGGCGAAATGATCAATTACTTCTGTAATAAATAATATCGAAAATAAAATTATCAATTGATAATGTAATTTGTAATTTTATGGATCTAATTACAAATTAATAAAGCAATTTGTAATTTTATAGATGAAATTACAAATTACTTCTACAATTGATAATATTTTTTGTGAAATTACAAATTAAAGCAGTAATTTGAATTTTTTTTCGCCAAATTACTAAATACAAAAGCAATTGATAATTTAATAATTCAAATTTCTGAGTTAAAAATTAGCAATTTCAGTAAGAATTAATTAAGATTTTTATTTATTTTGTGGTAGAAACATCACCTTCTCATAATAAGAAATAAATAATGTTTTAATATGTAGATCAACGAAAGTTCACACATATATTTTGACCATAACACATATGTTTAAAGAAACTTATTTATGTTTTAATGTTCGTCAAGATGTTTCAACGTTAAATCATACAATTGAACATTCTAACTTACGTTTTAATGATCAAATATGTGTTCTAACGGACTCATTCATGTTCAAAGTGTCAAATATAGGTCCTAAGGTTCCAATTTATGTTCTGTTAATACGGTCTACGTTCTAACGATTTCATTTATATCCTTATAATAAAATATGCGTTCTAACATCCGTTTTCACAACTTTCTTTAAACTCTATGAGTGCGCCGTTGCGACATCGATAAATTGACGTTTTATTGTGAAATACATTGTTCTTTTCAATGAGTTTAAGTTGAAATTAAATACTTATTTGCAATTATAAACGTTTCTAACTTTATATTGTAATTATTATTGTCATCATCATGATATGTATATAATAAACTTGGCAGTGACATAAAGATCGTAATATTTTGAATGAATTATACTGAAATGTCTCCTGGCGAAGAGGTTTATTTCCGCGCCAGGAGAAAGAGAGAAATGGTGGGTATTGGGGGGAGACAAGGAGAAGATCTCTGAGGGAGACAATGTATATAGTTGGAATACTTATACAGTGAATAAGGGGATTCCTGGATATTGTAGAGATTGAGAAGGATCTTTTGGGAATAGAGATGGTTAATTTAAGGGATGAGGAATGCACTAGGAAGCGCGGGAAAGGTTGTATGAGGTCTCTCTCTGCCTGTCTTTGTCCTG